GGCGGGGGGCGGTCTCTGGCTCTGTCTGGGCTGACTTCTGTGTCTGTCTCGTTAGCTCTGCCTCGCTTTTCTCATTTCTCCGTATCCTGTCTCTCTCTTCTGCCTCTACCTCACGCCACAGTGCTCTCTGCACCCATTTGTGCCATCCCTATCCTTCCCTCCCACCTTCTGTTTGCTTCTGTCTTCCCTCCGCCTGTTGTAGAAGGAATGGGTGGGGTCGGTGTGGGCTGGACGATCTTGAGAGCAGAGACTGCCTGTCATCCTGCAGCAGATGATGGCCTTGGGATTGGCGAGGAGTTGGTCTCTGAGTGGCAGATGCTGCTGCTGTCCCCTCCCACCACTCATCTGATGCCCCAATGGAAGTGTGGCTCTGGGCCCCTCTAGGGAATGGGGCGCGCTGCTTCGTCACCAGGACCCTGCTGGTTCACTAGAGGGCGCTCCTGAGACAGGTTTCTAATCCCTCCCGAATCCTGCTTGCAATTTGGAGTTTGTCTTTCTGTGCGTTTTCCCCAACGAGGAACTTGAGCCCTTGGGAGTGGATGGGGGATCTAAGGAGGCGTTTTTGCCCCAACTCCGGCCCCTATGTGCAGGGAGAGACCTATAGTCCTGCAATTGCTCAGCTCTTGGTTTGGGGGACTTTCCTTTTTGGTCAGATGACAGGGTCTCCTTTGTCTCAGATGCAAGACTGGACAAGGCTCAGACTTCTGGAGCAGGTTGGGTGCCCTGTGCATATATGGAGGAGAGGATGAGGTTGGAGGCCCAGGCAGCAAGGGTGCCGGGGGCAGTAATGTGTTCTAGTGGTTAAGACATGTCTCTGCGAATCACCAATCTGGGTTCCCGGCCCCTTTCTCCTAACTCTCACATGCGATGTGATCTGACCCAAGTTACTTAACCTCTCTGGGTTAAGTCTTCTAGTCTGCGCAGTGGTGTAAATTACACACAGCTGTTGTTTTAACCAGCTTAGATTCATCAAATACTTTTTCTTTGAAGAAAGGAGCGAGGGAGAGCACAACTAGATAACGGGCCTCCCTAGGCCCCCTCCCTCCTCTGTCCCCTCTTCCCCTCCCTTTTCCCTCCTTGCACAAACATTCGAGAACCCACTTGGAGCACGGATGGTGCAGGATGCTGCACCCTCTAGGTGGTGTGCATGGCAGCCGTGGGAACAGGCACCTGCAACTGTATTTCAGTCCAACACAGTTTGCTCCAAGCGGGTCGCTGTGTGATGGTGACGCTACAGTCTGTAATGTCCAGTGTCGTCACTCACCAGGCTGACCTCTTATGGACCTGCTGCTCAACTAGCTCTTGGCCTTGTGAGTGGTTTGGTATCAACCAATTAGCTCCCAAGGGTTGGTGGTAGTGAGTGCTGTGGGAAAGGTGTGGTTTGGAGGGACTGGGGAGGTACTCTGCAATTAGTTAGGAGGTGTGTATTTATGTTTTCGCATCCGACTATGGCAGTAGAAACAGAGACGGCTCCGTTTTGCTTAGGCCCTTACCATACGCTCATCCGGATTGCAGATTATCTACTCAGGTGGACAAGCCGGCCTTGGAGCTGGACCATTCCTGAGGCTGGCTTTTGCTTTCAGGACCTCGAAGAGTGAATCTTGATTGGTCATTGGACACAGATACCATTTAACCCCAGAACAGTGATTCTTTTTCTTTAACTTTCTCTACCCCAAACCCTTTGGAGAGAGTTGAGTTTAGGTGCTTTCAGTCTGGGCCCATGAACCATTAAGGTCCTTAGGAGAGGGTCCGTGAGCCTCTATCATTTGTAGGTGGAATTTTGTATCTCTCTGCATTTTTCTGGGAAGAGTACCCATGGCTCTCATAGATCTCTAGAAGGTTTATAAGTAAAAAATGTTTAAGAAACTTTATCTGATCAAGATACTCCCATAAAGAACCTATTTGTGATTTGCAGCCCAGGTACAAAGAGAACTTAATATGTTAAGGCTGATGTAGGGAACGAATCTCTGACAATGTATCAATGCGGTAGAACGAATCTCTGACAATGTATCAATGCGGTGGAACGAATCTCTGACAATGTATCAATGCGGTGGAACGAATCTCTGACAATGTATCAATGCGGTGGAAGTGTTGAGTAAAAATTCATGTTGTGACTCATTGGTACATTGTTTACATATGACTTGGATGCCATTTCCTTAATACATCGTTTTACGTGGATGTATTTCTAAATACATGTAAAGGCACCGCTCTTACCTTATCCTTTCCCCTTTCAGTTCTGAGGTACTGTTCCCAGGATTTCCCTTAGCCCCAAATATATTGGGTTCAGTTGCCCCAGGATGAAATAGCTTTCGGTTTGGAAGTGTGGTCACTCTTGATGACAGCACTACTTATTTAGACTGCATTGGACTCCTGGAGGAGGGCTGTTGTGGGCATGACTTCATCTGCTGGAGTCTGGATTTTGAGGCTCTGTTACTGCATTGCCCCGGTACTAACTGCCCCCCTTTTCTAAGGTTGCAGTTTCAGAGTGGGGCCATCTGATGTCCTGACATGACGGGGTTAAAATATATGGATGGTAAATTGTGCCCTGAGAGTTTCGGTTTCAGCCTCGAGAATAGAGTTGGTGGGCATTTGTCAATCCATGCAGTCGACGAATGTTCATGGAATGCCAGTCATACACCAGCAGGAGGTTCAGTGTGGAGGTTCCAGTTGGGTGGTGTGCGATCACTGTGAGCAGTTGTTCACAGGTCGTTGAGGGAGACAGATGAGTAAACAAATTGTGATGGTGCAAGGTAATCGGGGTTGTAACAGAAGTTCAAGTCAGCAGGGAAGCGCAGAAGAACACTTTGATGTTGCCTGGGCAGGCAGGAGGGCTTTCTAAAGGAAGCGGCATTTGATCTGAGACCCGAGGCGTCGGTGGGAGGTTCTCAGGTGGACAAGAGAAGAGAGGTGATGTTAAGAGCCAGAGTCAGACAGATGTGCATTCCAGTGCACACCGCTACCTTCTGCCTCTGTGAACTTGAGCAGATTCTCTTGGCCTCTCATCTCTGCGAAATTATATGTAAGTGAGGGCGGTAGCATCGACCCTGCAGGATTGTAGTGAGGATTAAATGAGATCATGCCTGGAAAACTGTGGCTGTTCCCCAAACAGTAGCAAGGCAAGGGAAGGAGACAGCACGAACATGGCAAAGCCCAGGTCACTGCAAGCACTTTGGCATGATCAGGCCTTAGGAGTGGATGATGGAACTAGACACAGGAATTGACATCCCATGACAGCCTTACACAGTCCTGAGATTATGTTGATATTGGGAACAATCGAAAGATTTTAGGATATCATTAGATTTGCTTTTGAAAACGTACTCTCTGGCTACTCTCTGGCTACGGGGTAGACAGATAATTAATTGATCAGTTCCTTATTTGGTGCCATCTCTGAGACTTTGTTTTTTGTTGTTTTATTGTTTGTTTGTGGTTTTTGGTTTTTTGGGGTTTGTTTGTTTGTTTTTTTTTTAACATATATCTGTCTTGATGTTGGCGGGGATGCGGAGAAAGGGGAACCCTCCTACACTGTTGGTGGGAATGCAAGCTGGTGCAGCCACTCTGGAAAACTGTATGGAGGTTCCTCAAAAAGTTGAAAATAGAGCTACCCTATGATCCAGCAATTGCACTACTGGGTATTTACCCCAAAGATACAAAAGTAGGGATCCGAAGGGGTACGTGCACCCCGATGTTTATAGCAGCAATGTCCACAATAGCCAAACTGTGGAAAGAGCCAAGATGTCCATCGACAGATGACTGGATAAAGAAGAAGTGGTATATATATACAATGGAATATTATGCAGCCATCAAAAGGAATGAGATCTTGCCATTTGCAACGACGTGGATGGAACTGGAGGGTATTATGTTGAGTGAAATAAGTCAAACAGAGAAAGACATGTATCATATGATCTCACTGATATGAGGAATTCTTAATCACAGGAAACAAACTGAGGGTTGCTGGAGTGGGGGGTGGGGTGGGAGGGATGGGGTGACTGGGTGATAGACACTGGGGAGGGTATGTGCTCTGGTAAGCGCTGTGAATTGTGCAAGACTGTTGAATCTCAGATCTGTACCTCTGAAACAAATAATGCAATATATGTTAAGAAAAAAAAAAAGAAGAAGAAGAAGGTAGCGGGAGGGGAAGAATGAAGCGGGGGAAATCGGAGGGGTAGACGAACCATGAGAGACGATGGACTCTGAAAAACAAACAGGGTTCTAGAGGGGAGGGGGGTGGGAGGATGGGTTAGCCTGGTGATGGGTATTGAGGAGGGCACATTCTGCATGGAGCACTGGGTGTTATGCACAAACAATGAATCATGGAACACTTCATCTAAAACTAATGATGTAATGTATGGGGATTAACATAAGAATAAAAAAAAATAAATAAATACATATATCTGTCTTCTCTAATTAGACTATAAGCTTTTTAAGGGCAAAATGCTAGCGTGTTTCTGCTTTTCAAGCCACAACCACCCGCCACCGCTCACCCCCCAGCATCAAGCATATTCCTTGGAATATAATAGATGCTCAATAAAGATTTGGTGAATGAATACACAAATTGGAGAGAAGGGTAGGTACCCCTGCAAACCTAACAATGAGAATTGAAAAGCAGGTATAAAAGTGAAAGCAAGACACAAACTTGAGTCACTCAGGGAGCTAGAATTGACATGCCTTTGT